AGGTACTTTTAAAGGTACTCATGTTTTACCTTCTGGGTTTTATTTCCACCTTGTTTTCATTTATTGGATGTTTGTCTTTAAAAGTGCTATAGAAATAAAGTTATATCATTATTATCACCCAGTTTATTTTCTGAAACTTTCACTTGTTCTCCGGTTCAGTGGAGTTTTGTTGCATTACATCAACAGTCTTTTATCAGTCATGTTGCAGATTCAGATTAATGATGCAAAATAGATCCAACAAGAAAAGTAGCTTGTCAGACTTAAAAATTCACAAAAATATAACAAATGTACGAGGTAGATGTAATGAGATGATGAGAATCTATCAAACTTTGTGCAGAAATTCTTGATTAAAAAAAGAAGTCACACGTGTGTCTCTACAGAAACAGTCCTCTGAACCTGGCCGGCATGGCGGTCGAGCGTTACATCGCCGTTTGTCGACCTCTTCACCACGTCCAGATGTGCACGGTGCAGCGAGCCTACGCTCTGATTGCTCTCATCTGGGGCGTGTCCCTCATCCCAGGCCTCACTGACATCATCATCGCCCTTGCCACCCGGTCCGTCTCAATGGACTCGAGGCCTGTGGTCTGTTACCCGTCATTCGTGTACAACACACCGCACCACAGGGCTCAGAGAGAGGTGGCTCAGGTTTGTTAACGCTACACTTCTCACTGAGAGGTCACGTGACACAGGTTACACCTAAACCACGAAACAACCGACTTACACATTTAGAAAATGAAATATAGATTCATATGCTTACTGATGCTAACATATGCTAACAGTGCTATAGAGAAGTACTTTTATGTGCAACCTAAGAGTTATACTTGAGTATTAAACTAAAGAATTATTATTTTCAGTGCACGTTTAGACGATGTTGACAAACTGACAAATCGGCTCAACTTTAATTTTGTCGATTTATTTGAACATCCAGGTTTAAATGTTGATCCAACTGTTTTTGATGGAAAAATATTTGTTTGGATTCGAGCTAAACGTGTTCACACTGTGGTGATTAAGCCGAGATCGGCAATGTAATCTACATCACATGCAAGTGTCTGAGGCAGACGTGAACAAAGAAGGTAAATCAAACATCTCTCAGTTCAAACCAAAGTAAAAAGTCCTTCATCAGCAGAAGATCGTGACACGTGGACTCTGATAAGTGAAGCCAGTGCACAAGTTCCTGAAATCTGTATTCTGTGTACGGACCAGCAGGGGGCGACTCCACTGGTAGTTTCTATGAAAGTCTATGAGAAAATGTTTCTACTTCAGCAAACATTTTCCTCAGGAGTTTATGTCTCAATCTCTAGTTTCAAGTCGTCTTCAATACGATGTTCATTTATCAATTATGATCATTTAGGTGGCAGGTGGGCGTGTCCTTGACCTCACAGTGAGGCTCCACCCCTGCTCCGCCAAATGTGGTTACTTCTGGTTTCAACAAACAAAGATGGCGCCGGAGAAAATGTCACGTTGGGTTGATACTTGAGTTAAACTTTATTTTGGAAATCTCCTTCACATGTGACAAACTTTTACAAATGAACGGACACATTAGAGATTAAAGTGATTTTCTCTCCGTCAGATTCTTATGTTTTCCTTCGTCTTCCTGACGTTGATCATCACCTACCTCAAAGTCCTCCGCATCGCCCGGACAGTTTCCGGATCTTACCAGGCCTCAGCCAGAAACGCCCACAACACCATCCTGCTGCACGGAGTCCAGCTGTTCATCTGCATGCTGTCGTTCCTCTCGCCCTTCATCAACATCGCTCTAGTCACCATGTGGCCCAACCAGCGCACCACAATCCTCTTCGTCATCTTCCTGTTCACCAATGTGCTGCCACGTCTGCTCAGTCCGCTCATCTACGGCGTCAGAGACAAAACGTTCAACAGCCACATCAGGCGACACTTCTGCTGTCAGTGCTGCAACACTGGAGAAAACAAGGTGGTGGAACCTCGGAGAAGATCCAAACAGGTTCTACGGTGAATGACCCGATGAAGACAAACATCACAGACTGAAGACGTTCAAGCTTTGTGAACTGAAATAAATGTTCACTGGAGAATGGTCATGAATTATGTAAAATATTCAGTATAAGATTTATTTTTAAATGTCTTTTTTTTTTTTAATAAAAGGACTCGTGTCAGATTTAGTGACATCTAGTGGTGAGGATGCAGATGACAAGAAACTGAAGAACTGCTCCCTCACTCCTCCAGAGAGAGAGAAAGAGGTTAAACCTACATGTTAACTGATCCTGAGCTTAACATAAACCTAAACCTGGCACGAATCCAACATGAACCTTAACGTCACCAAACCCTAAACTTAAACTAACCTAAACTTAAACTAACCTAAACCTAAACTAACCTAAACTTAAACTAACCTACACTAACCAAAACTTAAACTGGGCCTAAACTAAACCTGAAACTACTTTAATGTTAATGAACATCTTGTGAAAGAGCAGATTATATCAGATTATTCTTTTCTGCTTCTTTTCATTCAGGATTCGAGATTTTGTGTTTAAATGCTTTTGTTGGTGGAAGAATCAAATCAAGTGATAAATAATCCAAAATAAATGTATTGATCTGGTGTCAGGCTGTTTATGTGGACACATATTGATCAAATGTAGAATTTCATTATGAGCACAAACTTTTCTTCAGAAGTAGAACGTTTGTCCCATAAATATGATCGATGGAATTCTCACGGATCATTTGGACGAAGTGTTCTTCACACTTTGTGTTTGGTCTTTGTCACCGTGACAACAGCCTGGCGCACAGCTCCATGAAGAGATGATGGTCTCACAGAGGAAGTGGACTGGACCTCAGAGCGTCAACATCTGGTGGACAGATGTTAGAGCAGCGTGTTCATGAACATGGCATCACAGTCACATGTTAAACTCACACATGCGTGTTGATGATCATAACAAAGTCAAATGCTGACGTCTCCATACAGCGAGAACTTGAGCCTGTCGGGTGAAGAACGTCAGGAACTGACTCTGTCAAACATTTCTTATCCTGAAGTCAGAGAAAACTGAGATGGACTTGAAAATAAACTCAGTGAAATCATCATGAAGAGACAAGTGTCTCCATTAAATAACAACAAAATGTCCCCTTTCCTCAGGACATCGTCTCTCAGACACTTTCTGTCACTTTTCTCTGCTGTGAACCCGTCGTCCATCATTTCCCAGCATGCTGCTGTTCCCAGTGGCCTGCTACAGTGTGGTTGTTGTGAGTTGGTGGTCGAAAACATACAACCACAGATTTATGTCATTGTGTTAGAAATTATTTTAGCAACAAGAAGATGAAGAATTTTCATCTACGTTTGTATAAAACGTCCTCGGCTCAGTTTTCTATGAAATATGGTCAAATACTTGTTGAGCAGTTTCCTCTGAGACTTCAAAACGCTGCGCTCTTCATCGACTCTTATTCATTGTGTAAATATGACGTTCATTCTGCTTCTGGTTGGTTCCATCATGTCAAACTGGTGATTTGATTCATTCACCTGCACCAAGGAGCCGATGTTTTCACCTGTTTGTTGGTTTGTTTGGAGATAAAGAAAAAGCAGAGTCATGATTTCCAGTAAAGTCGGTGGAAGAATGTTTATTGAGCTTTAAAGCAGAGATGAAACAACACAACTTTTCTCTCCCAGATGTTTTTCTTCTTGTTACATCTGGTTGGTCACAGAGGAAATGATCCATGTGTTTGACTCCTGACTGTATATAAAGGCTTTGACTG